CCAGATAATTTCTCAGAGCAATATGCTTATGGTTAATTCTTTAGTGTTATTCTCTCCATTTTACCTCTCCTCTTAGAATACCAATTACATTTCCTTTTTATATCGTTTAGCAGTTGCCCTTGAGTTTGCATATACATGAATAAATAACCTAAACCTGCCTTCAAACAGCACCATACAGCTGCAGATGCAGTGCCTGGTCTACTGATGAGCCCTTCAAAGGCATTCTTAATTTGTTACATTGTTTTGGATTTCTAGCATTCTCTTTGGATTTTTCTTAAGAGTTTCCATCTCTCGGCTTACATTACCCATCTGTTCATTCATGATGTCTACTTCTTTCATTAGAGCCCTCAATGTATTAATCAGTTATTTTAAATTCCTTGTTTGATAATTCCAACATTTGTGTCTTATCTGAGTCTGGTGCTGATGCTCTTCAGATTGTGTTTTTTTCCTTGTCTTTTATCATGCCTTGCAATTTTTTGTTAAACTCCAGCCATAATGTATCAGGTAACAGGAACTGAGGTAAAAGGCCTTTAGTGTGAGGATTTATGTTAATATGGCTAGGAGTTGGGCTGTGTTTAATATTTGTTGTAACTGTAGGTGCCAGAGGCTTCAGCTTCCTCCAGGGTCCCTGCTTCTGTGTCCTCTGCTGTTTTGGGGCTTCCCTAAGAACTCCTCCTCAGAGTCTGCACCTTGCTCTTTCTGCTCTTTCAATTGTAACTCAATTATATTTGATTCCTGTTGATGTGGTGGCAAGGTGTAGGGGAGGGGAAGCATTCTATAATTTTAATGATTAAGTCTCAGTCTTTTACTGGGCCTGTGTCTCTGGGCTGTGACCTTCACAAGGGATTCTTGATATTATTATTTTACCCGTAGGGTGAGATAGGACAGCTTGAGGGGGCTGGAATTGGGTAAAAACCCTTCTCCGCTGTGGGATAAGGCTCTGCTAAAGTCTCTTCCCCTAGAAAGTAGGCCTTTCTTATGGAGAATGTTTAGGGCGTATCTCAAAATGGTTATCTTTCTCCTCCACCTGCCAGAGTCCCCAGGAGATATCTCTTGACTCTTTACCATAAGAAACTGGCGGGGTTCCTGGAGGTAAAACCCTTGAAACTCTGGAAAATCCCCTATAACTGTGGCCTCCAGGAGTTTCTCACTCTCAAGCTAGCCCACAGTCAGCACCCAGTAATTTGTCAAAATTGCCATCTGAGTGATCCCACCAGTTAATGGCTCCAGTAGCTTCTACCCTAAGTAAGGAGATCTCACCTGTGAATCTCTGTATTCACCCTTCTCTACAGATTTCACAACAGCAGTTTGTCTTGCAACCTCAATTCTCTGATGAGCACAAGAAAAGGTATCGATTTTCAGGGGTTTTTTTCTTTCAATTTTTGTTGTTGTTGTTGTTGTTATAAGGATAGGAGTGATAACTTCCAAGCTCTTTACACACTGGATCTGAAACCAGAAGTCTAGTTGTATAATCCTGCACCAGTTAACGTCTCTGAATCCATTTCTCCCTTTATGACATGGAGATAATAAATATTTTAGGCCGATTTCATTATTTACATTGAAATGCTTTATAAATAGTAAAGCACTATAGTTACATAGGGGTTATTACCAATTTGTCAACATCCCCCACAAATTTGTGGTGTTGTCACCAGGAAATATCTATTAAGCCAGGAATAACATTTCCTAGCTCCCTTGAAATTGCTCTGTTCCTGAAGAATTAAGTAGGAGACATGTGCCCAACTGGTCCATAATAATGTCCCCAGTGCTCCTCCATGCTCTTTACCCTTCTCCTAGAAGCAGAGGTAAGACCCTGGAAATGATGGAACCATATGGAAAAATCCCTGCCTACAAAGAACAGACTATTGGGTTGTCATGTGCGCAAGAAAATCATTTTATTGTCTTAAACCACTGAAATCTTGGTGTTTACTTGTTACAACAGCTAGTGTTATCCTAGCTAATAAAGAAATCGATACCTTGATATTGGGGCTAGTTACTTACATACACGACCTACTAGTTAGGTGTTGAGTGGCGCATACACACAAAAAAGATACTGTAGCCTAGAAAGATTGAGACTCAGGTCATGCTGTGGTACAATATTGAGTGAAACTGTCACCTGGGATAAGGATGACAAAGAGAAAAGACTGCTTTGTTACAAAAATTGAGTGTTTAAAGATTCCAGACAATAGGAAATAAGACTGAAAAAGACCTGAAGCAAAGCCCCATTAAGATTTGTCAAGTAAACAAGGACTCAGCCTGCGGAAAAGATTATGGATGTGATATTCTCATCCAAGCCTTGTTTAAGATGACTTTAGGATAACTACTATTGTCAGGGAGACTGGCTTGGGGGCAAGGAAGCTAAACTGTAATTCCTGCTCCCTACACATTCTCTGATCCTCCCCATGTACCTGCCACTTCCAACAGAAACCTTCCCCCACTTACCAGGGGGCCTGTGCGGGCCTGTGCAGCCCTGTTGCAGCACTTCCCATGCCTCTCCTCTCTTGTGAGCTTGCTGTTCCAGGTTCAGGTCTGGAACCCCACAACTCTGGTGGCAAGGCTCGGAAAGTGTACCTTGAACAACTTAAATTTCATCCAATGGGTGGCGAGGCTGATTTCCTCTCACACAGCCACCATTTTGATTATGCCCCTCTCCTAATCCAGGTTTCTGCTGTTTCCTACTTCTGGAGATTCCAGCTGAACAGGCCATGCTGGGGTTTAGAGGAGGGAAGCGGGGCAAGGGGAGGGGGTAGGGTGAAGGGTTGAGTGTGGGGGCTGGGAAATCAATATCCCTGAGAACCTCTGGGACCCCTCCCCGGCCAGAGGCTCTTCCCCACCACAGACCCCTGAGTTGGAGGCTGAGTGCCTGCATGTGGTGATCTGCAGCATCTCTGTGTATGGTTAGCCACTATGAAAATCAAAGTTCATCTTGACTCTAAACACTTCACTGTAATGGTTTTCAGGGCTAAGACCAATAAAACTAAAACGTGTGAGGACAGAAATCCAGTAAGAGAAAGCAATTTAAGATACAAGCCTATTAAGTCAACCTCTGATCATTAAACTTTTGAATTTAGGGATTGCCCTCCCTATCTTAAGGCCACTCCTGGGAGGCAGAGTGGCTTCTTGCTCCTTAAATCCAGGCTTAATGTTACTTACGAGTTTTCACCTAGACATTTCCCAGGGGCTGCCCTCTGGTGGCCCATCTCTTCCTTACCTGGAGGCAAAGGCTGTGCTCCCGGGCGGATGGTGGCACCTCTCTGGCCTGGTCCCGCCCCAGCCCCAGCAGTGGCGGGGTAGGGGTGTGGGGGGCAGTGGAGAAGGCCCCCGCTGATTGGGACTGTCGGGAGAGGGAGGTCCTGGGTGCTGGGTGCTGCCAGTAAGGACACCAGGAAGGACGCAGCCAGGTTTGCTCCAGGTTGCTTCCGTAAAGCTCCCCCTGAGGAGCAGAGTGTGGTAAAAAAACTTCTTCAGGAGACAGAGGCATGGACACCTGCTCAGGCCCAGGAGGGAGGCAGTGGGTTCTGGAGGCGGAAGGAAGTCAGATGACCTCGGTGGGAGGTAAGGGGCTGCATGATTCCAGGGGGCTGCATGATTCCAGGGGGCCGCCACGCAGGGTCAGGAGCCCTGGTGGGTAGGGATGGTTGTGGGAACGCAGGTTTTGGACATACTGTGGAATGCCCAGATGTTGTGGTGGCAGTCTCCACTCATTTGGCAAAATGTTAGGAAAATGAACCAAATGCTAGAGAAAAATGACCTAAATCTAAATGCCAGAAGTAGCAGGCGGGGAGGGTGGGGGCTGGCACCCCAGTGTCCAATCTTTTGTTTCTGAAAGTGCTATCTTTTTAAATTAGGACTAACTTTAAGGCCTTAAATTCACATATGTTATTCAGACTATTACGTTTCAAATAGAGAAGAGGTAATCAGCTAGGTAGGAAATGATTTTAACAAGACTTTGCTAAAACTTTATAGAAAAATAACTCCTGTTACATCCTTTGTGTGTCAGCTGAGGATGAAAGGCTACCACACTGGCCGCCCTTCGTCATCGCTGCCAACCATCACACTTGAGCCTTGCTTCGCCTCTGCAGTCCTGGCACCAGCAGCCAGCTAAGCAGGCCCGGGCCGCCCCTCCCTGTTGCCGGGCCTCGGGGGCCATGCGTGGCCACAGAGCACCTTCCCTGGAACTGCAGCACATGGCAGGTTTGGCACATATTTTTTATTTTCTTTTACTTTCACATTTACAAACTCAGGGAGCCATTTGGAGAACGGGGCGGTTGAGGCTGCCTAGAAGAAAAGCTGGGCTCGTGGGCACCGCACAGTCGGGCACTTCGGACTTCTCACTGGGAAACCTGGCCTATATCTCAAGAGCCATCACTGTCAGGCGACAACTGAAATAGTAGCTGTGGCCTGTTCCTCTGTGCCTGGAAGACGCCTCCGCCCAGGATTTTATTGCTGGTGAACATGATTATCCAACTTAGAGACCAGGATGATGGCATTACCAGAAATGGATCCAGTGGTGAGCATTTTGCGGAGACGAAAGGAAACTGCCATGAGTACACCGCACTGATCCTGCTGGGCCGGCCTATGTGGCCCGGGCTTGCCTCTGGCCGTGGGGGTGGGCCCCGGAGATGGGGCCCGAGATGGGCGTTGTCCATCCCGACGGGACAAAGAGGCGAACAATCATGAGTGGACGTGCTCAAACCCACAGCAGCTGGTGCGCCAGAACCCAACCAGCTCTCCCTTTCCCCATGCTACATGTCCCTTTAAGACCCCCCAAGACGTTCCCTCTCTCAGGTGGAAAGAAATTACGCTCCCCTCTTTCCAAAGTTGCATCTCTTGGGCTGAGGGAGACAACTGTTTGGCAGGCGGTTCAGAAATACGGACTAGAGGCACCGAGGCAGAGATCCTGGAACGATGGACTGCTGAAAAGTACCCTCGGGCCACCTCTGAGTTTCAGAGGAACAAAATCATCCTGGAAAGAGTGGTTTGCCTCTGATCATAGCAGCGCCAAGATGAAAGCCAGAGGTATGATTTTATTACTCAGATCCTATGTTAGCCTGTGCGATTTTTGCAGACCATTAGCTTCTCCATCTCTCCTCAAAGTGCTGGGTGCCATTCTTGCAATCCTCAGTGACAGGCGAGAACCCCCCCGCCCCCCGCCAGGGGAGCCGCCAGTGGATCTATCTCTTTGACAACTGAGGGAAATGACTCCTCCACCATGTAATTTTTCTTCGCGGACTATCAGACTACAAATATTTAGTCCCTTTCCCCTTCTGAGGAGAGTAAAGGCCTAAAGGCATTGATAGAAAGGGGACCAAGGAGGGATCTGCCAGGGCCCTCAGTGCACCTTATGTCCAAACTAAGTTGTAATGGTCAGGGTCCAGCTTCATGGGCCAAGGCATGTCCAGGTCCATGGGAGGCTGCGGAATCTCCAGAAAGAGTGGAATGTAGGACAGGTCATTTCTGTGCTCACATCTCCCACCTGGTTAGCCTCTGGTCTAACAGATATTTGAATTCACAGTTCTACACATTAGTTTAGCAAAAAATCTGGCTTCTGATACCCAAAGAGCTTAAAGTCCCCTTCAAAACGTGCATACAGGCGCCGGATGTCTCGTTTGCTGATGCCTAGAAAGTAGCGCTCCACCTTGGTTTTATTGTACATGGTAATGCCCGGAGGAATGGTGGGGTAGGACACCAGGTGGTCTATGCCGGCTTCCTTTAAGATGTAGGGGGCATCGTCCTCCAGGGTCTCATGGTGACCGATCACACTGTACTTTATCTCGCAGGGTGCACACAATTCAACGTACGTCACCCAGTGAATAATGTGGTCCCCAAACTGAAGGTCCAGCCATCTGTGGTTTGGATCACCCAGGTACCGTACAAAATCTTCGAACTGGATGCCCCTGGTCTCCGTGCGGTTCCGCCTATATTTCCTAATGATGCCCGGGGCAATCTCATGCCTGTACCACGGCTCAAAGCGGGGATTGTGAACAAACTTATCCTTAAACGCAGAAATCAGTCTTTCGAAAGGATCTCTTACGATAAAAAACTTGAAGTATGTTTTCAAGCTAGGGAGAAAAATGAGGAGAAACAAGCAGTTAGGCCAATGCCCACCGGTGGCAACCTGGGTGAGGTGGTACGAGAGTGGAGTGCCTGCTGGAGCAGCAGCGGCCATGGCGGCTGGAACGTGCCCTCCTGGGAGGAGCGAGTTCCACGCACTTCTGAATCCACACAGCCGCCTCTGGAAGCAGAGTCTGTTACCAGCCCATCTCATGGGGAGGAAAGAGAGCCTCAGAAACCGTAAATGTCCCCGGCCACAGGACTCATGATCCCAGAGGGCCACCATGAAGACACCTACTTAGCTCAACAGATACTCAAACATTTCAAAACTTCAAGGGCATCTGAAAGTCTTGTTCTCGGGCAGGAACTCTGAGCGAGGTAGAAGTGGAGGCCAGAGGAAGTCACTTTAGGGGACCTCTGTATACATTCAGTTCACAGTTGCCAGGGGAGGGCCAAGCCAGAGCAGGGGGCAGGTAAGAGAAAGGGGGGGCAAGGTTGCGGCTCCAGCTGGTGGGATGGCGGCCTGGGGGAGCTGCCAGCAGTGGCAGGGGTGGCGCGGTGACAGCCACGTGACCGGCTGGTAACGGTGCTGACAGAACAATGATGACATGGGCCACCGTAATTCCAGGGCCTACTCCACGCCAGAAACCGGCTCAGGGCCCTGCACACCTGAACTTGTCTTCTCTCACAAAAGCCCCCATGAGATCAGTGCTCAGGTGGGCAGCAGGACCGCACTTGCCTGGGAGGCTCTCTGATCCCGCATCTAACACCTGCGTTCTACAGGTTTCGCACAAACTGGGAAGACTAAATAACCAGCACCAGAAGTAATGAGAGAATCAAATGGCTGAAAAGCAAGGGAGGTCAAAGTTCATCTGGTGCCCTGACATCTACTTGCTGCTCATGCCTTCGGATTCCTTCTGAGCCTTGTTCTGCAGGGTCATTTCACAGCTAATAGAAAGGAATTTTCAATTTACTAGCTAAGTCATTCTTAACATGCCCAGTGGCCACCCTTGCTGTGATCAGTGAGGTCTGACTCTGCCTATGTTAGGTCCAGTCCCCACCACCTCTCCTCCCAGGCAGCCACCATGAAAGAAGGTGTAAGGCCTCTGGAAGAAAATAAAAAACTTAGTGGGGTTCCCCTGTAATCCACATCCCTTTCCTATGACCTAAAGGTCATATTCAGTAAGGAATCCATAAAACTTAACAGAACCAAAGCAGAACAAAAATGACTACTCATTTCTATTGAGAAAATTATGTAACCTTTGTTTTAATGGACCGAATGAAGGTAAGGGTGAAGACGTTCTGAAATTCTCATAAAGGTTTGTGAATTTAAATGCACTGAACACTGGGCGTATGCTTGGCTGCCTCTTGCAATGTAAACCAAAAGCCCCCAGTAGTCTTTGCAGCAATTTGAGACGGATGGCAAGGACAGAACTGAGCCCTGGGTTTTACCAAAATTCCCCTCCCCTTAGGAACCTACTCCTACCGCTTCTGTATCTCTGCATCGCTGAAGGAAGAGAGACGAGGGAGGCCATTCTTCTCATGGTCATGAACCACATTTTCAGGGATCTCTTCAATGGAAGGAAAAGCCCCTGGGAAGGAAACAAGGGAGGACAGGTTGGCTGCCTCAATGCTACCCTTAAAGGAAGATGCCTGGTCTCTTAACTTGGGCCCTAAGTTCCCCGCAAGCCCATCCCTTAAATTCCAGTTTAGGTCTTTGAATTCCAACTGCTTCTGCCAGCAGGATGAGAGAGTGAAGAAAAGCTTCTGGTAATCCATAAGCCAACTAGAGAAAACTGACGAGCGGGGAACAAGGGGGAGAAACACTGCCAATACCTACCCTGGCAACACACTTAAATTGGTGAAATCTGACATTTCAAAAAAGATCCCTGCATGCATAAAGGATTCCTAAAACGAGCAATACTCATCCTACTCTGAAACTGGGGGAAAATGCTAGAGGAGCAGGACCGTGAAACATACTGCTGGCTGATGCCCCATTGGGGGCCCATCACCCCCAATGGGCTTGGCTCTCCCAGCGCCACATCCCTAAGCCTAAGGTGGTTCCTAGGCAACCTCACCACATCCCAGACTGGCAAGTGGCAAAGCCGACTGGTGCCGGGAAACCCTGGCGAATGCTGTGGGAACAGTGTGATATAGCTGAGGCAGGGGACAAGGAGGACCAAAGTGTCTAGGAAGGCAGGGCAGGATCAATGCCACAGCACCCAAGTCGGGGCTGCTGAATAAAACCTTGGGTGCACCCCATCCTCAGGCTGGTGGACTGGGCAGGTTTTTCATTCTCTTCTCAACTTAAGACAAATAGACACAAAGCATCATTACCCATGAAGGTTCTAGCCAAGACTCCGTAAACCTTCCCATCCATCATTGTGTTAATCCTGTCATGTTAGAGTCCGGCAGAGAAGGATCTCTGTTGGGCCATCTACTCAGTGGCCACTGGCTTGATTGTGTGATTTATCCCTTCCCCAAACGTAAGCACCAGTCCAGAACTCTATGCTAAGTGCTACGGATGGCCAGGAAATAAGCAAGATGAACATCTGCTCTCAAGGGGATATTGAAAGAACCAGCTCTGAAGATTTGTACCTGGACCTACTCAAGCACCTGTCCCCGTGCAGGTGTTTCTAAGGATGACTGAAGACAGCCACAAGGACCATCCTCTATTCTACAGGCTAGCAAACCTGCCCCCATTTTTATCCTGCGCTTGTAAATTGGTGTTTACTTCTTTAAAGTCTGATGCTTTGTACTGTACAGATTTTTGCTATGTACAGATTCATGACTTTTGTGTATTGTTTTAAATTTGATTTGTGACCTCATTCTTTGATGTCAAAAATCCAACATACTGTCAGATTACTCAAGAAGCACATTAATTATATACCATAAGATGAGGCAAGTGTCTCCCTTTTTTTCCCCCAAACAACCACGAAAAGGCCAAATGAAGCAACCATGAAAAGGCCCATTGACCACCAACTCTGAGAACAGCAGTAGGAGTGGTGGGCTGGAGGACAGAGACCGCAGGGCCACCTCCCACAGAGCTCTGAGGGCTGATTCCTGGTCCTGGAGTCACACTGCTGTTGACTGGAATTATGTTCCTTTTGAAGCTGAAGTTAACAGAGCCCATAATTATCTTGGACCAATTCAGGGTAATTGGAGTTTAAACAAACAAACATGGGATCTGAAAAGAGCAGTGAGTAATCAAAACCTGTAGAGTATGAGGTCACTTTTCAATGATCTAATTTGTTCCCAAATAAACATCCGATTTCCTGAACCAAGTCAATTCAATACTCTGAATATGGAAGCTCAGTATAAAACAGGGATGCCTTCTTTCTAGCCAAGTGGCACAAAATACTTCATCTGTGGGTGAAGGGGCCCCCAGGCCCATCTGGCAGGGCTCCCCTCCCTGGCATGGGTGCAGGCGCTTCCCCTATAAAGGAGCAGCCGGGAGGCTAGTGAGTGTGGAACCTCAACTTACCAGGACAGAGCTAACAACCAGTAAGACACAAGGCAATGCATCTGAAGAGAAGGAAAGGGATCAGCCTGGGGATGGGGGGGGCGGGGAGGGGCAGGCTGCCTGAGACAGGGATTCCGCTCTGGAAAGTGAGGAGAGGAGATTCTGACCACAGGTAGGGCCCTCTGAAAACCTCAGTATCTAAAACTTTTAAGCCACCAGACTTTAAAGTACACCACCAACAGGGGAAACACAACAGAGAACCGTCTACAAGGTTACCAGCCCTTCCAGCACAGCTGTCCCTGCCTTTGGCTCCTCTCTGCTGCCCCTCTCCACCTCCCCCGCCCAGGCCACACCCGTCCCCCCAACCCCCAAGGCAAACCCTGCTGTCCACAGACCACAGACATCCACCAGGCGCTGCACGCACCATTTAACACGATCAGCACTTTCTTCCACTGGGTGTTGCCCACTTTAGGAGTCTGGCAGAAAAGAATCTTGTGCTTGTCACAGACAAATATCCGGTCCAGGACAAACTTGGAGACCGCGGTGTGCGAGAGATTCTTCAGGGCTTCATCCCTGCAGACGTTTCTGATGAGTTCCAGGCGCTCCATATAGACCAGGGGTTGAATAAGCCGGCTATCTGAAAGCACCTTCCCAGTCGGCTGCAAGTAACAAGGAGGCAGAAGGGGCACAAGGGCTTTGTCAAGAAAAAACAGGAGTGAGCCCCGAAGGAGCCACCTGGGAAGGCCCTGCCCCCTGACCCGGTGCTGCGTGCTGACACGCAGAGGGCGAGAACCAGAGCTGCCTCACAGGAAGGGCAGGACTCTGAGGGCACCATGCACCTTCAAGGGCCTGGGATTCATGCTACATGGACGGGCTGGACCAAAGCTCAGCCAGAGACGTGAGGATGTTTCTTCATCCTCAGCCGCTCAGACCAAGGTGACTGCCACTTTGCTGACGGCAGGCATTAGGGCCCAGAGCATCCTGGACACAGCAGGATGCTTTGTGTTCTGGGATTTTGGTGAAGGCCAGTTTCAGCCCCCTTCCTTCTCCCTAGCATTACCCTCCACATAATTCTGAGTGTACATATGTGGACGATACCTGAGGACCAGTCATCTACACACGCGCTGTTCCAAAGATACTCTGGTATACGGGTAGAATGGTTTATTAACAAGAAAAACATACCTTAGGTCATTCAGTATGGATTTTAAAAATGCCAAAGCCATTACTCCATCTCCTCAGTGACAAGCACGTGGTCACGCTTCTCTGTCATGCGGTTTAAGGAGAGGGCAACGGGCACTGCATGGTCGTGGCGTCCGTCATGCTGGAAGCGTGGCCACTGTGGGAAAGCGCCGGAGCACGTCGGCGCTGGTTCCTGCCTGAGTCCTCCCACCAGGCGGGAAGGTCCCTGAGAGCGCTGGGCAAAGGCTCTGATCCAGAAACCCCTGCCTGCCAGGAGAGTGGGCTTCCTGGAAGCGAGCGGACGAGGACCACGGGGGGCACGGCCCCCAGCTGGCTTCTGAGGTTGGGGTGCAGGCTGCACGAGGACACGGCTGCGGCTGCTTTTACCCCGTGACGTCGCAGTTCTGAAGTGTTTGTTTCGACCACCTCCGAGTTCTCTGGAACCGGTCTCTCAGTCGTCCCCCCTCCAAACCAGTGTAATTTCCAATGTGTGTGCAGCGACGACGGCTCCTGTAGCCTTCACCTATGGAGTACGACTCAAGTGCGAATACGAGTCGTCGCTCGCCCTACAATGGCTCCAACTGGCACGGAACACTGCGGAAAAGTCCACAGCCCCCCCACCCCCCACCCCTGCCCCAACTGCCATTCTTTGTAGGCAACCTACTTTTAATACCTGGGTGCTGGTCATTTTTTTCAGTCATGTTCCAGCACTTTACAAATTTTGCCAGGGTAAGTTAGTGTGGGTTTTTCTGCTGATTTGCCTGGAAGGCAGGGAGGTCTTTCTACCTGCATCCTCGGCTCAGAAAATGTCCTTTTTCCTCAGGACACAGGCAGGGGCGGAGCTCATGTGCCACAGTGGGTGGAAGTCATTTGAGGTTAGGAGGTGGGCAGGGGTTTCTGGGTCAGAGCGCCCCGCGGTTCACGTGGATTTTGCCACCTGGTGGGAGGACTCCCTAGAACAGAAACCAGCGCCGATGTGCCCCAGCATTTGCTCACAGTGGCTACGCTTACGTTCGACAGACACCACTATGAAGTAGAACCCGTCCCCTCTGCTTACAAATAGCTTAAGAGGCATAATTATGCGCTTACTCAGGAAACGGGAGTCTTATACCATGTATTTGTTATACCTCAGTGAATGTCTTTAAAACAGGAAACATACAAAAGTTCTGACAGTGGTTGAAAAGAGTTATGGATTGCAATGGGCTGTAGTTGTTTTTTTCCTTTTAATGCTGGATATTTCTTTAAAATACACGAGTATATCTTCCTTCTTCTTAAAAAACTTGATTTAAAAATATCGGCTGGTTGGGGGGGAGGGGGAGCACCTAGCAAGACTTCTAGAAAGTTGTAGAAAACTGTACCAAGTCCTCTGTGGATGATTTCTACCAAATCTGGGTACTTTCCATATGCAAAGGTGGCTCTGCAAACACCGCACATTTTTGTCTCTCTTCCTCCACAACTCTGCCAAAACCCTCTGAATTTCCTTCCAGGGCGCACCTGTCCCTTTCTTACCAGCCATGGGACCCTTCTCATCTTTCCTTCCTCCCCTTTTCTACAGAGTGACAGCCACTATTTCCAGCCACTTCCTGAAGCGGCCTCAGGGCCTTTCCACTGCCCAATAAATCAGAAATGAGTCAGTATGGTTGGCAAGGAAAGTAGACACAAAATGGGTTCATTTGACTTTCCTTCTTACGAGAAAGTCGACTTAAAAAAACAAAAAAGATGAAAAAGCTCAAGTTCCAAATCATGACACATAGTCTTTGGGACTGCTTTATAACCTAACACAATGAAAAGAGCTTTTGTTAACACTCGATTCAAAATTCTACTCTGTCACTTGGCAGAATGAACTGTTTGACAAATATTTATCGGTCTTTACTCTGTGCTCGGATGCAGTTGCAAGTGTTCTGTGGAGACACCGAGAAAGCCTCAGCTGAGGAAGAATGTGTGTGGCACTGTCCACGTATGTGTGTGTGTGTCTGTGTACACGCAGAGGTGGGGGGGGGGTAGGTGAGGGAGACAGGGCGGGCAGCAGGAGTCCTCAGGGACTTACTAACCCCTCCCTATTCACATCACGGTGGAATGTCTGCCCACAGAGATCTCCTGGCTTTCCAAGAAGCAACCCAAAAGGCAGTTCTGAATAAAGAGTCTGTTCCTCCAACCCCACTCCTTTGGCCAACTCTAGTTGTGGCCCTTTTCCTCAGCATTTTGAAATGTTTCTGCTGCTGTTTATTGTCTATTCATTCAAGTTACACAGAACTTCTTCCCAAGAGTTCAAACCAGACAGTCCCCTAACTTAACTTTATAGAATGGACCAAAATGCCCTTTTATCTGTTAAAATGCACTAGAGTTTCCAGGTAATCCATTTATGGGGCAATTGTAAAACTAGTCCTCCCCCAGGGAATGGGTCAGTTACAAAATGGGGAAAAGGATATGGCCTTCCAGAACACATGAGAACAAGAACACTGGAAATATTGGGACAATAGAGGTTTCCACACCACCACTCAGCTCCCTGCTCTTCCCTCGTGGATCTGCCATAACCAAACTCCCTGACACAACTTCTCACGTGTTTGACTGAATTTCCTGGGTTTCCCTGGTGAAGGGAAGTGTCTTGGGAATGCCTAAGGGCTACTTCCTGAGGTCAACATATTCTGGAAGTGAGAATGGGCACCTGCAGACTTACTCAGCTCTGATCCTTCCTCCCCAGGGAGCATGAGCACGAGCCTGCCACACTGGCCCTTAAGCTTTTCTGCTTTCATAAATGGAGTCTAATTTAACCTCATTCCTTCCCTGACCCCAACTCTTGCTCACTTATCGACATGGTCTCTCTCTCCTCTCCTCACTCTACTCCAATTGCTTCAAACCTCAGATCTAACCTGGATTGCGGATGATACTCAAGAGGTGTGACTCACAGGGCAGTACCTACCTCCAAACAAGTTCTCTTGAGAGACTGCAGAAAAATCTCCCTCATTCTCAAACCTGTTTTTCTTCAAGCTTAAGCGCTGTATATAAAGAAAAACCATTTCTCATCTAATTGTGCATATGGACTGGCATGGTTTTGTTTTCTTCCTTTGCAAATATACTAAACCAATTTTAATGACTGATACTGTTTTCCATTATTTTCCATTCAAATATTCAGCTATATTATGTACAAAATAAACTTTCTTGTGCAGTTTTTAAAAACTGAAGTATAAGCAAAACATATTAGTTTCAGGTGTACAAACATATTGATTCAACAGCTGCACAAAATAAACGTTAAAAGGTAAGCTACACAACCTGATCACATTTATAAGTCACCTTTCTTTTGGGAAGACAGATGCTGAGTTTAAACATCTAATGACTCCTGGTTTCAGAGAATCATGTCTGACCACTGTTTCCCACTCCCTTTACCTTGCATTTGAGTTTCATGAGCATCAAGGGGGCAGGGTAGCAAGAACAGGGGACAGAGGACATGTAATTGAAAGTCCCAGCCCACTACTTGCTGTCCCTGACATACTGGCTCTGTTCCTTGAGCCTCACACTTTCCAAATGCAAAACGAGAGTAAAAATACTTACAGCTCAGAGGGCTGTTTTTGAGGACCAGTAAGATTAAAACCCAGCAAAGTCTTCTGTAGACCGCAAGGCATGTTCTGGTGCAGTATTTCCAACCATGATTACTCCCGCAGGCCCATGGTCTTGGCGGGAAGAGTGCTCCTCTGTCCCTCAAGAGTGCCCCCTGGGATGGTCACTTTTGTTCTTCCCGAGCCTTGGCATTCTAGCAGCACCCTGGTCTCAGAGCAGTGCATTCCTCTTACAAAACTCTCCCCCCACCTCTGTGGTATTCCTGATCCCAGTAACATTTATTTCCTTACCTCCTTCTATTAAGGCCACCCTCCTACTTCCTACAGGTTTTTCTGGTTTCCTGTCTCTGGGGTCCATCCACTCTCTTTCCCTGCCCCGGAAAGCCTCAACCTAAAAGCAACATTCCAGGCCTGCCTCAGGGAGTTCTGCAGACTTGACCCATCAGTCGGGGTCTTGCAACCTGTAAACTCCAAGAGCACTTCACTCTGACCAGGTGCACACTTTCTAGACTTTGTTGGGTTCTAATCTGTTGTCCTTACCCTGCAAATCAAGGACAGGAACTGTCTCTTTCTCTATGGCTTAATGCTGGGCTGATAAATGTCTTACAGCTTGGTCTATCCCATTTCATTCCTGTAGGCATACCTGCAACCCAAACTTTCCAGACCTAGAATGGGGGTTAGCAAGTGAGAGGGGGAATCTCAAGAGTGTGCCCCCATCACGGCTGGGGAGCGATTAGGAATTTTTGTGTAAAAGGAACCTGAGGAGAAAAAGTCAGAATATCAAGGAAGGTGAGCACCAGGTAAAAGCGGCAGCCTTAGGCCCTGCCACTAACTCCCACACGATTTGGGATGATTAGCCTTTTTCCTAAACTCTGTTCTCTCATCCATGCCATCCAGAGGTGAGATTAGCTGCTCTTCTGTCCAAGAACCCTTCTAACTTTAAAAGTCCATGATTCTGGGTCACAGACCTTTCCCTACCCCCTTGGTTTTCTCCTGACCTAGCCCAACATCCTTCATTCCCCTGGCAAGGCTCCTTCTCCGCGGGTCAGGAATCCAACACAATCAACATTTACAGAGGATCCATAATGTACAAAGCGCTGTGAGGAACATAAAAATCGATGTGACCATGTCACCTCCAAAGAGAAGCTAAAAAGATGAGCGGAAATGTGCCGAAGTGACACAAGCCACAACTCACAACAGCAGAATGGGATGGTCAGAGGACACCAGTTGATATGAGCACAGACAGAAGGGAGGCTAGTTCCATGGGATGGGGGTACCCACTGGGGCCAGAGGGGGTGGGGAGGGGCCGCCACAGCTCAATCGGGAAGCAGCAGCTCTGCTCCCTGCCCCGCCCCCATGCCCCGCAGTTGACCGCGTCACAGGGGACAGTGCCCTCTGCCTTGCCGGGCCCACCTTCAGTTCCTCAGAAAAGCGGTTCTCTCCGGGCAACTTCCCCGCATCTGGCACGGCTGTCAGGAACAGGAACTCCTGTTTGGCGCTGTATGCTAGGAGACAGAGAGGTTAAAGCGTCTTCTGATGGAGGAACAGACACACAGATCAGCGGGACAGAAGAGAGGCCCCAGAAATAAGCCCACACAAATATGCCAGACAGACATTTGACAAAGGTGCCAAATCAGTTCAGTGGAGGAGAGTCTTTTCAACAAATGGTGCTCTAACAACTAGACATCTATAGAGAAAACGAAAAAAGGAAACTTTACCTGACCTCACATTTTATTCAAGAACAAACTCAAAATGGATCAGCACTTCAATGTAATAAAACTTTAAAAAACATAGGAGAAAACCTTTGGAAAATATTTCCTTGTTTTCCTGACTCTAATCAAAATTTAAAACTTTTTACTCTGCAAAAGACCCTATGAAGAGGATGGAAAGACAAGCTACATGCTGGGGGAAAATATTTGCAAATCAAATATCTGACAAAGGACTAGTACCTAGAATATGTAAAGAATTCTCAAAACTTTACAGGAAAAAGAAAAAAAAAACAATCCATTTAGAAAATGGGTAAGACATGAACTTACATTTCACCAAAGAGGATCTACAGATGGCAAATAAACACATGAAAAGATATTCACTGTCATTAGTCATCAGGTAAATACAAACGAAAACCACAATGAGATACCACTACACACAAAATAGCTAAAATAAAATATAGTGAAAACTCCAAATGCTAATGAGGATGCAGAGAAACTGAAGAACTTACACGGCTGGTGGGAATGCAAAATGGAATGGCCACTCTAGAAAATGGTTTGGTAGTTTCTTCAAAAACTAAGCATTTAACTACCATATGACCTAGTAATTGCATTCCTGGGCATTTATCCAAGGAAAATGAAAATTTATATCCACACAAAAACCTATACACAAATGTTTATAGCAACTTCATTTGTAATAGCCCTAAACTGGAAAAAAAACCCAGATGTCCTTCAACAGGTGAATGGTTAAACAACAGTGGGACATCCATACGATGGAATACTACTCAGCAATAAAAAGGAACAAAGTATTGATACACACAGTAATAGCTAGATGAATCTCGAGGAAATTATGTTGAATAAACAAAGCCAAGGCCAAAAGGTCATATACTGTATATAATATTCTTAAAAAAAATTATGGAGAGAACAGCTTAGTGGTTTCCAAGGGGGGTAGGTAGGAGCCAGGGAAGGGAGACAGGGAGGGGAGGTAGGTGTGGTTATGGGGCACCTGGGTGGCTTAGTCGGTTGGGTGTCTGCCTTCGGCTTGGGTCATGGTCCCAGAGTCCTGGGATCAGGCCCTGTACTGGCTCCCTGCTCAGCGGGAGTCTGCTCCTGCCTCTCCTTCTGCCTCCCTCCTCATGCTCTCTCTCAAATAAACAAATAAATCTTAAAAAAAAAAAAAAAAAAAGGCAACCCAGGGCTCCTTGTGGTGATGGAGATGTTCTGCATCTTAACTTTATCAATGTCAATATTGTGATTCCAACTCTGCATTATAGTTCCAGAACATGTTACTATTGGGGTAAACTGAGTAAAGGGTACATAGAAATCTGCATTCTCACAACTGCATATGATTCTACAGTGATCTCAAAATTAAAGGTGTAATTTTAAAAAACCAAGTTAGGGGTGCCTGGGTGGCTCAGTCAGTTAAGTGTCTAACTCTTGGTTTTGGCTCAGGTCATGATCTCAGAGTTGTGAGATGCGCTCATCGCAGAGTCGGCTTGAGAGTCTCTTCCTCTGCCCCTCCCCCACTCCTCTCTCTCTCTCTCTCTCTCTCTCTCGCTCAAATAAATAAAATCTAAAACAACAACAACAAAAAACCCAAGTTAGCAGTCAAGTTAGTATTTACACATTAGCTTAAAAATTCATGGGAAGTGAGATGAGACCAGACCAATCTTACAAAATTCTAGTCCAGAGTAATAATTTACAAAAAACTGCTTTGGGAGAAACCCTTGCGTAGAATTTGAAGATAATTTTCAGATCTCTACGATCAAAGAAACATTTACTTTCAAAATTCTGCAAAGTCTAAAAACATAATTAGAAAAAGTAGATAGCAAAAAAAGCATAAAAATCAGCATAATGAAGCATAAACAAAGGCACATTTATTTCATTTAAAAAACAATCAAAACCTCCTCTTGGATCAAGAATAGCAACAGCACACACACTGGACTGCAGCCTTCCACCTACACGGGTTTGCTACACGCCCCCCCCCCCCCCGCCCGCCTCCCGGGCCCATCCGGCATGCTGTTAGTGCGCACCAGGGCCTGGTGTCCTCCAAGTACAGACGACACTAATAATCCCATCTCCCCATCTGTTATACACTTTTGAGTTATCGGACTCCAATATAAACCTCTTTGCCACACACCTTTAGGAATGCCACTGAAATCTTTGGTCCAGTCTATGTGTGATTTAAAACGCCATCCTAACCAAAGCTGTGCGCAAGAGCTGTTCTGTACTTGCAACAAGGTCAGAGAGCCCTGTCTACAGTATGAAACAAAGCATCAGTGCCCTTGGCCCCAGAGCTCTTGAATACACTCTGAGGACTCCAAGAGACCACCATCCTCCTCCTCTGTAACTGTCACCTTTGAGCCCCAGAGCTCTTGAATACACTCTGAGGACTCCAAGAGACCACCATCCTCCTCCTCTGTAACTGTCACCTTTGAGCACTCACATGCTAACAAGAAAATGCACATTCTATGCTTGTCTGGTCACTTCGTGTTCTGACGGTGTCTTCTAAGATGAGCACTGCAATGCTTAGCTCTGCCCCAGGCTGAATGGGTTTTGCAGAATTCTAAGCTTCCTTAATAACATTTTAGATGGGACAATGTATCCTGAATTCTAAACAGCTGACTTACCAATGAATTTCTGAAGCAACCTGTTTCCCATACTCAGAAGCATAGAGAACAGGTTTTGGCAGCCATGAAACATCTCATCTTCCAACACGACACACATCAGACAGTCATCCACCAATTTTTATCATTTTTATGATTTTAAACTTCTTGGTATTTGCTTCTCCCCCCTCCCCTGGGCCCTAATTCAAATAGCTTCAAGTAAAACTGGTAACACAGTTTACATTTGGTTTTCTTTTTTTCCTGTTGCTCTGCTGACAATCATTTATTTTCAGCAGATGCTATTACCCCCACTATGATCAAAGCACAGTCTCTTTCCCCACCCAGACCCTTAGGAGCAAGCCTCCAGCTCCAGGATCAAGGATTCTGAGCCTATAGGTATCAGATCACTTGTTACAGGCATCGCTATATTTACAGTGCTTTATAAAATGTCTACATTTGCCAAGTGATGTACCACCTTGTTCTTCTAGAAGTGAACACATCCGCGAATCTCCCTGACCACACTGTGCGTCAGTCCCCAATGCCAGTCACCTCCCCATCACATGCTAGGCACAAGGCAGGCAAAGACATTCAAGGCATGGGCTCTGCCCTCAAGTAGCTTACAGCCAAGGTGAGGGGCTGAGTGGAGGCAAAAGTTTGGAAGAGGAAGCTGAACTAAGCGGAGAAGAAAAATCAGTGTCTACACATACATACCGGATTCACAAGGATGTCGTTTTTCATTTCTAGTCTCACCATACTATGCCATCAAATTCCCATCACTGAATGGGTTTTATTTCCCTGTGATACAGTCTAGTTATAACACCTGAACCTGGTTCCACATGACACTGACGTTTGTTAACCAAGGATGAGTCATTGCTACAAATATCTCTATGGCTTCACTGCTGAGCTGAAGACAGACCATAACACTACTTAAAGAAAAAAAAAAAGGTAAGTGAGGTTTCAAACAGCATTTCAAGACAAATCTCTTCCTGTCAGTTTAAGTGGCAGGGAAATCATTAGGAACAGGTAGGTGAGAAGAAAACACACACGCCCAGCGACAGACTGGAACAGAGCCCTGCTTCCCAGAGGTCAGAGCCGGAAGGAGCAGCCCCACAGACACTGGAGTTACAATCGGCTCCCTGAACCCTGAGACCAACGATCTGCCATCTACTTTACAGAAAATGGAACGTCATCTTTAGGAGACCGCTGTGTTGTCAGTTACTTCTTTGTGATGACACTTCATACTGGGCTTTTGGTTCAAAAACCGAAACACTGTGAACATGAGTGAAATAAATCTCAGCACCTGAGAAAAATCTCTTCCAGCCACATGTTTACAAACCTCTTTCAGTTTCCTGTACAGCTCCAAGATCCACCAGGGGGGTTTAAATGCATTCCTAGACAAAGGGGGCCCCCTAAGGCTAAGTGACTGTAGCCACCAAACCACAGCCCTAGAGGAGCAGGCAATGCCCTCTCGGACGGCCTCCTCGAAGGTTGTATGTTTAACTTATCATGGGTGTTCCATCCCTGCTCTGTCACCCAGATTGGCAAGACACCCTGCATGCGAGCTTGTTTCCTTCATTCAGAACTCAGCCAGTGAACATCCATCTTCGTGATCCCAACCAAGAACTTAGGGACAATTAGAAACTTTCTGTGTGCTCAAGAAAGGCTGGGTTACATTTGAGCCTGACAACAAAGGGTTCTCACTCTAAGTTTCCTGCACAGTGTGGGACTGACACTGTCCTCACCGGTGGCTCCCACTTCCTGGAGGTAGGAGAGGGGCACTGGGGCCAAGCATGCTCTGAGGTTCCCACCAGAAGTTGTCTGCACCACGGTGCTCCCATTCACTAACCACAGCAACCACACCAAACATCCAAGAGTGTAAGAGCTATTTGGTGAGCAGCACCTAAGACGACCACAGATCTTTCCTCCAGGTTTAAAATCGTAAAGCTTTTCATCTTTCCCTGTAGGTTTCACCTTCTATCCCTTTAAATGTTTGCTCCACACTTCACAAAACCCTCTAGAGCTTCTACACTTTCCCAAAAGTGTTCAGCTTAAAACTTGCCACGACCTAGCAGAATGACACGTTGCTTATCAGATACCACTGAGGAATGCCATGCTCTTCAGAGGCTATTCTGCCAGAGAACATTACAATTCAAAGGGCACACATCTCAATTATTTTTGGTGGAAGTCTCATAAAATACATTAGCTATACTCCTAGTTTTTGAAAGAAAGTAAACCATTAACCATTTAACCTCATGACTTGCCTTTGAAGTGCCTTCCTTACCAGGAGGTGACATTTAAGGGAAGCATAAGTAAAACGTGTGGACTTGTTGTAACAGATTCATATTCTCAGCAGCTGCTCTTTCTACGTTTGCGGTTCTCTAGAGGTACGCTCCTAGAGATTCTAACTCACTTGGTCTCTGGTCAGGCCAGCAGAGAAAGGTTTACAAAGTCCCACAGACAGTTCTAGAGTGCCACAGGGTGAGAACCACTGCTCTTACTCTTGAGGAGGGACCTCCATCAGAGGTAAGTGGAACTGGACTGGAGCAGCTGGAGAAACAGCTAAATGGTCAAGTGGAAATCACAGTCTCAGACTCCAACGACCCCCTAGATTCAGTGCCTGCTGTCCTGACAGAGGCCCCAGTGCCTGGTGGGAGCCAGGTGGGAGCCATGATTGTCTGTGATTACCCACAGTGCTCTGTGATGCTCCTGCAGTTAATGCCGCCATCCCGAGGCTGTAAGAACCTCTCAGGTCCTCATAAGAGCTCCTGGAAGGTGGGGGTGGTACCTGTAATGACGGCCTGTCGGGCCCGGGCATGGAGGAGCTGAGTTACTGAGTGGAAACCCTGGAGCTGAGAACTAGCTCTTGGGGCTCATTTCAGGGCCTCCCTCTTTGGCCTGCACATCTGCCTTCCAGCCTTGTTGTTCCTCTACAGACAGCATGGAGGAGGGAGAGAGAATGAACGGAGCATTCGGCCCCCAGGGTGGGGCGCTGCACAGCCTGACAGCAGGGAGTCTCTGGGCTGCAGTGGAGCCCAGAGCCTGCTGGCCACTCAGAGGGCACCGTTCATGCAGCTGCTGGGAGAAAGTGGGGAAAACTGCTGGAACGGAGGGACACTCTCCTGATCCCCCCTTCCTAAGGGCTGCTGCCTGCAGGAGAATGTGTGAAGGGTTGTACAGAGTGAAGATGCTGTGCACACCCACATTCACAAGCATCCTATTAGGCAGACGTCGTCAGGCCAACCTGAAGCTGCTCATGAGCCTTTTCAACATCTCCCGTTTGTCTTGCCTCACTTTGCCATGGAAGGAGTCGCCTCAGGGTTCCAGGTGCACCTCCTTACGTACGCCAGCAACCTCACAGATCAGAGACCCTCACTGTACTCAGGTCAATCTTGGAGCTGTCAGAGCATGTCTCTCTTGCAGGAAAAAACCACTAACGCCTAGGTAAGCAAAGGTCAAGGGCATAAACTAAAATAAGTTCTTCTGAATCTGGGTTTGGTGCTCTTTGTACGTCTTTATCTGAACACCTACATCATCAAGTCAAGGGGAGTTACCTCAAAGACTACCAGACACAATATTTAAATCACCTTCCTCCCAGTGAACCGAAGGTGACTTTCAAACGCACGGCTAACAGCATGCAGCACCAACTAGAACACAGGGATGCTGGTCAATCATGGCAGCGTCTCATGACGACACCAAGCTGGGCGAAATCCCAGGCCTGGAGCCCAGGAGATGACCTAGCAAATGGTATTGCTGGTAAGAGGCCACCAAAGAAGCCCACAGAGAAAGCATGCTCCACCCGCCCCCAAGGGAGATGCAGGGAAGACACCTTTGTCCTTTCCCACCTCCTCTTCTGCACCTCTGTAACATGAAGGAATTGGACGCCATAACCTTCGAGGTTAATGTTCCTTCGAATGCGTGACAAAGGTCATCCGTACATATACCCAGAAACAATACCACAGCATTGTCTGGATTAGCTGAAATCCATTCCACAAGGAAGCATACCTACCATCGGGGTCTTTAAAGGTCAACGTGATAAATTTGCTAGCCACCATGAACATGAAAATCACCCAAAAGCATGCGGCCAACAGAAGCCACTGGTGGTGCATGTTGTCAAATGTCAGCCATTCAGTAATTCTTCCTGGAAAACAAAAGTGAGATGCCCCTGGCGCTTATAAATATATCAATTAAACATAAAGTAATAAAAAGAACAGGTGGTTTTAGTTAACAGCATCAATATGAATATTTGAAAAAATTTTCTATTGATACAGGGGTATGTTGACTTAGTACTTAAATTTTATTCTTAATTAATAATATGAAGTTGTCGATCTGGTAATTCAAACAGATTTAAAACACTCTAATGGAGAGGAGACATTTGTTTGTTTTTGGAATACACGGTAAGATTTTGCTTTTGTAGATTTGCCTCATAACTCCTTTCTGGCCCAAGCGAACATCAAAACATACTCCTGGTACCCAGCAATAGCCAGCGCCTGGAAGCAGGAGGGCAGAAGGAGTCCGCCAAGGGTCAGACCTTGGCTGTGGTAATTTGTGGAGGGCAGAAGCCATATTGAGGCAATGACAAGCAGGCCTTGCGTAAAATCCTGACATGCTGACAAGATAGATGTAGCCACACCTACAGAATCTCTAAAACAGGACAAATGAACACCAGGGCTTCTCTGTCTCCATTCACTTGCCTGCAAGAGTCTGCGCAGAACCTTGGGGGTGGGTGTTTTTCATGCTGTCACTGCCCGGAGTGATGCAGGGCATGTCAGTCCTCAGCAGGTCATGCTGCAGGGTACACATAAAGAGCCAGGAAGTCACAGTCAGTTCTTGGCAAGAGAGACAAAAAAAGAGTGTGTTTCATTTCACCTTTAACAAAGTGCTTCTTCGAGCCAAACCAAGCCACTTAAAGAGGCCATGCTGGGCTGGGTTGGTTTCCACTAGCTGACTGAGGCCATCCATCACTCCTGGGCAGCAGGGAGAACTGGTCCCCTCAATGAGGTGCTGATGACATATGATTTCAGACAGCTTCTGAATGCTGGATGGGACAGAGCTCAGCGGGGACCCAGGTAATCAACTTTCCTCCTTGTCTCAACAACAATTACCTCCTAGAATCTCAATGGAACCAGGCATCTGAAACCTGAATTCCCTCCACCAAGTGGTTATCCAGCCTATACTTAAATCTATCCTGTAATGGGGAGATGCAGCCTGTACATTTACTGGGTGGTTTGGGAGCCACCCTCTGTCACCTCATGTGCTCACCCATTAGACCCAGTGTGTTTCCTGGGGTCTTCAAACAGGGTTGCCAGATTAACTAAATAAAAATGTAGGACACCCAGTTATATTTGAATTGCAGATAAACAATATAGTAGTCTCCCTTATCCACCGGGGATCCTTTCCAAGACCCCCAGTAGGTGCCTGAAACCACATAGTACCGAACCCTGTAGACTGTGCTTTTTCCTATACATACTATGGGAAAGTTTAATTTATAAATTAGGCACAGTAAGAGATTAACAATGATAACTAATAATAAAATAGAACGATTGTAACAACATACCATAACAAAAGTTATGTGAATGTGGACTCTCTCTCTCTTATTGCGCTGTACTTACCCTTCCTGTGATGATGTGAGATGGGAAACTGCTTATGAGATGAGCTGCAGGGAGGGCAATGACGTGGGCACAGTGGCATAGCATTAGGCTACTACCAACCTTCTGACCATTCGTCAGAAGGAGGATCATCTGCTTCTGGACCGCGGCTGACCGCGGGTAACTGAAACTATGGAGAGTGAAATCACAGATAAGGGGGGACTACTGTGAATAACGTCTTAGTAGAAGTATGTCCCAAATATTATATAGCACATACTTACACTTTAAAGAGTGATTTGTTGTCTCTGAGTTTCAAATTTCACTGGGAGTCCTGTATTCTATCTGGCCGCACTGCCCAACACGGGGCATATGCACCCCTCTCGAGCTGCCTGAAGCTGGCCTGCTGAGTTGAGTCTTCCTTTCTCCCTCAGTCCTGCTCGTCTGAGGCAGCACGGCACAAAGGAGAGCACCTAGATGGCCCCACCACTCACCAGCTCTGTGACTCAGCAGGTCACTTAACCTCCCTAAACCTTATTTCCCAACACTGAGACAAGGCCCTCCTCCTTCCAGGGTGGTTGCGAGGATTAAAGGGCCTGTAGCCGTGCCCCTATAAGCATAAACCGACCCTCTCTGACTTTCCAATTTGATCTGCCAATAGCCTTCTAAGTCTAGTGGCCAGAAATGAATGCAACAGCGTGGTCTGCCCCAAGAAGAGGGGAAAAGAAAGGCAGACTCATCCCAGGGGGCTCAAGTTCCTAATTCTTGTCTTCCAGAGACAAGTGAGGCACAGATTGTGCCTGGCAGCATAGGGATACTGAGAGACGGTGATACTCAGAGGGGGTCCATCCCCATGGGTCACAGTGGGAGCACTCCACTGAGAAACCCCAACTGCAGGCCTTTTCTAGCAGAAGGGCAGAAGGGCAGAGGGACCAGTGTGGGCAGGGGAGGGAGTAAAGAGAAAGGAGACAAGTACCAGGCAGGAGGTACGCAGCCAGAACAGAGGGGTATTTGTTCCTTTGGACCAGTTTTCAGGAAGCCTTAGAGGCTGAGGAACACTCTGGGTGCTCAGTGGCCTGGGGCTTGCAACCCATGCTTTGCTAAGAGAAGTGCTGTGGACAAGCAAATACGGATGAGGGCAGCCACCTGAGGCTGCCTCCCTCACACATGCTTACTCTGCAGAGCAAGAGAACCTCTCGGAGCTGGTCGCTCATGGTGCCCTGCTCTGCTCAGACCTAGGCTTCCGGCCCCTAAGCACCCTCCTGGGCATCAAGGTGGCACTTGGGAGGGTTTTATGGCTTAAGAATCTAATCTTTTCAGTGGGAACTAGTCTTCTGAAGGGATCTAATTTGAGTGTGCCCACTGAGCTCACTTCTACATAAAAGTAGGGAGATGATGAATAAACAGCCTTACATGAAAATGAAGGGTTGTATCATCTGCTCTTCAGGAAGCCAAGTGGCTCAGGGATAGGATTTCTGCATCTGGGCTCGTTGAGATGTGAGAGCTGCATTATCCTGAGGCCATGCCTGCCTTCCTATGGCTTGGATTTTAATTCCAAGCCAGGAATGCTTTACTTTTTCACCCAGGCCTGGGGTCAGGGGGTGGGGGTCTAATTCTCTTCTCCCAGAAAATCTTCCCAATTTTCACATCTGTAAGGATAAAACCACCACTGCATACCTACCAGTGTGCTGTGAGGTCCCCGTGAGACAGAGCCTGCCAAAGTACCTCCTCTACAACTTACAATCCACCAGCCAATGTCTTCTTTCCGATGGGGAATTTTACCTCAAACACGTTCAACTTGGAAGTGACTTCAATTAAACCCCTATTGAACTAGGACATCTAGAGTGCCCCTTCCTGCTCTGAGCCTGGCCGCTGCACTGAGTCGGGAGAAGGGAGGTCTGCAAGGCCCCCACCTCCCTCTCATCCCCGTCACAGCCCACCTGGACTGGGCAGGGACAGCCCAAGACACCTGGGGACCCTGATGAGGGCTGCAGATGTGGAAAGGTTCATGTGCATAAGCCCTAGGCCCTGCCAAAAAATGTTCTCTCGAGGAGTATAAAGTCACAGACCTCACCAGTGTCTTGGGTAGAGCCGCCCAGACTAGACTGAGGTCTGACAATGACCCTGTGCCCTGCTGCAGGTCCCTTTGCGGCCACAGAGCCTAAGAGAGGTCACTGTGAAAGGCAGCTCGGGAGGGAGCGCTCTCTGCCGGCCATCGGGCTTCTGTAAATGGGAGGTAAGCAGAGCTGGCTTCCCTCCCATGCACAGCAGAGGAAGAGTCAGCTCTCCCTGACGCCCACTCTGTTGGAACCCCCCAAAGCCTCTGTCCATCACCCCACCTAGTTTCACATCCTGCACTGCAACTACCACAGCCTGTTTTCACTCATTCACCATCTGCCCCCCTAGTAGAATGTAAGTGCCCTCGAGTATACCAAGGACTAGAATAGTGCCCGGCATTCAGTAAGACAACAACCATTATTTGCTGAATGCCTCCATCCACCTAGAAACTCAGGAAAACTCAGGAGAGATGAAAGGTACTTCTGAAGGCACCTTTCCCAACCTTCTACCCGAGAGTTCCCAAACTCTTTTAAAGGATGAGGCCCCCAATTTCAACAACCTCAAAATATTTCTCCAGTATCCACATGAGAGTAGTTATGTATTTGATACCTATTACCTGAGACTAGAAAACAATTAAAAGCTACTAGGATTTCAGTATTACTTGAAAATAAAATATTTTATAAATTACAGCACTTAACATGCATTTGAACAGATATACAACTTAAATATACTGACTCAGGGGGGTGGTTAAGAAATCTCACTGGAGTCCAAAAATTTTTTTTAAATTTTAAATAAAACTCTGTGCTGAAGGGCAAGCCAATTACAGAGATCCAAAATGTCAATTTATATCTGTAAACAAAAAGGGCAAGTTGCAAAATTCAATGTATGATCCTCTCTGTAAAAAAGTTATATATGTGAATGTACGTGATCATACATATATCCAAACACATACATGCATGTAATGCACAGACTAAAATCTTGAGATGATGAAAGCAGTTATTTTTTGCTTTGTACACTTACATATTAAAAAAAACTTTTGCAACAAACATGTTTCCATTTTATAGTAAAAACTAGTAAAATATAAAAGATGCCACTTACTTACATGCCCCCTGGTGGTTTTTATTTCTGCTGTTTATTTTTTCTACCTGACCACTATTGATTGCAGTTTTCTTACCAATTGGTAAAGTGTGGGAAAGGATGGTAAATACTTTTCTAGTCGGGAAAAAATGGTTAAGTGACAAAATCAACATGTATCTGAATATTTAATAAATACACCTCTGTCTTCATTTGTTTTAGTTTTTTTTTAAGATTTTATTTATTTGAGAGAGAGAGAGAGAGAGCACGTGCGGGGTGAGGGGCGGAGGGAGAAGCAGACTCCCCGCTGAGCAGGGAACCCGATGTGGGGCTTGATCCCCAGGATCATGACCTGACCTGAAGGCAGATGCTTAACCGACTGAGCCACCCAGGCGCCCCTGCCTTCATTAGTTTTTATTTAGCTTTTAAAAATGATTTAATATTTAAAACAAAGTGCAGAGACTAATATAAGAAAAACAGATTCTTGGCTCTAATAGTTTTGCTGTACTTACTTGAGTGTTTTTAAAGGAAAGGAAGTGTTAGAAAAATAAGGCTGGAGCCCCTCTCTGCCCCCACCTGGCTCTAATGGCCCTGCACCCCAGACTTACTCCTCCATCAGGGAGGAGTCTTCTGACAGAAGTGGCAGCAGCGGTTTGGAAGGCGGTCTTCCCTGCACAGAGGAAGGCGGGGCCAGTTACAGAAGGTGGGAAAGCATGTTCACCCAGGGCCTGAAAGGAAACAGTGCATTACATATGGGTGCTTTCTAGGGAGGCCCCTGCTGGGCAGGGAAAGCCTGGGGTGGAGAGATGCACTATTTTTAAGCACCTACCTTTTTTTCCTCGTGGTCTGTAGTGAAGAAATTCACAAATTACACACAGACTTAAGAGAAAAAAGCTGTTGAGGCGAAAATTTAGATAAACCAGGACTTGTTCTTTGAGTCATGTGCTATATGCGCCAACCAGAACCAGTAAGACTAAAGCTTGGTCCCTCTCAAGTACCCTTCCCCTCAGGCCCAGTATC